CTCACCAGGGCAGAGTAGAGGGGGAGAAGAACCTCTCTGACCTACAGCCACCCCCCTCCTGATACACCCCAGGATGCCATTGGCCTTCTTGCCCACAAGGGCACAGTGCTTACAAAGGTTTTGGGACTGCTTCTCTCAACACAGGAAGGCAGGCTCTGGGCAGCAGACACTTTGAATTGCTCGTGGCTCTGGAACTGGAAGGGCCCAGCTGGCCCACCCAGACAGTCCTTCCTAGAAGTAAGAAAACACCAACATGCTGTCTGGATGATGGCCCAGCCAACTCCAGCAGGGATAGGACATAGGCAGAACAAACCACACACCCAAAAATCTTTTTCCAGATTTCCCCTACTGTCTTACACAGGGTTTTATTGCTCATACACGAGGTTGCTGGAATGCAGACTTTATGATAACACTATCAGCTCTCTCCTCACCTAGGCAGAACTCTTATGATTAACTTGAATCTGCAACATTCATTTTGGAAGCCCTGCAAGGTATTTATGGTGGAAGGATAAAAGCTAATGAGATGTCCAAAGCACAGTGGTTTATATCTTGTGCCTGCTACAACTGTAGCCAGTCACATGAATAAACTCAGGCCACCAGAGGAATAATTAGCACCAGGCTGAGCTGATGCCCTTTTTACCCTTAAAAGGAACTTCTCAAATGCTCAGAAACCAGACTGGCCAGACTCTGCACACACTGTATAGATTAGCCATGGAGAAAAACCTCCACTGGGTTTCAGAATGAATCCAATTACTCGAAGGACGAAAAAATATTATCTAAACATGGTATCTGGCAGCAGGATTGACCAAGACGCATTACAGCAACACTGTTACCGTTCTCCTGCAATGCCCGGTGTGACATTTTTCTACGTTTGCATTCTGCTTGCATTTTCTCAACTGAGTTACTGACAGTTCTGGTCAGATCCTGGAAAAGCATAGCAGATTTGTTATTAAAGTCTAAGGAAGGTTTAGATCCATGAGGATCTTCAGCAGAAAGGCATACTCTATGGTTCTGCCTCCACACTGAGTTTCTCCTTAGTTAACTACCTTTGAGCTGAAAGAACTTTCTCTACAGAGACTGAAACGGCAGGTAAAGGAGCATCACCGATCTATACAGGAGAAGCAAATAAAATGCAAAGAAACAATGTTCAATTACATGTGGGATGCAGATGAGAACGGAAAACATTGAACTGGAGTTTCTTTTTCCAAATCCTTCATCAATCTCTGGTCCCAACTGAATTCTTAATGGCGTCTTAACCCAAAGGTCCTCCCACTCCAGCACTGTTCCAGCACTGCTGATGGAAAGGTGTCTGGAAGACCTCCAAAACCCACACCAGTTGCTTCAGCTAGAAAAGCAAATATGAGCACAAAAATACTTCCTCTTTGTTGAGTTGAAAGCACATGGTTAAAGCAGCTCAAGTAAGTATTCAAATGCTGAAAGATGTCACTTTAGGAAATAATTTACAGTCTGTTTACCAAGACAAGGCTCTGGACAGGGAAGCACAAAGCTATGCTTGGTTTGCCAGGGTAGCTAAAGTATGAACTGAAAACCTTTAACAGAGATCAGGTCTAACAAATGGACTAACAATTCCGCTCAGATGACCCCTCTGAGTGTGCAATATTTTAGCACAAGATAGGCCCAAGACAAAAGAAAACAATAACTTTTCTACGTGTCTGATTTTGGCTTTTGATTTACACTTTTCCATAGTATCAAAGTACACATAACTGAAGACCATAGTATGAGTCAGAGCAAGCCTAAAAACAAGTACTGAGACTACTCACTACCTTTAAGAGAACCGTACTCTCCTACCTTCTCTATCTAGCTCATTCTATACTGTTACTGGCTACATTAATCACAGCTTCATGGACAGATTTCTCTCTGCATTTCAGAGACTTCATCTTCACCTAATACAACTATGCTATACAGTAACATTTCTCTACCTAATGACCCTCTGCTGATATGAAAAGCTGCAGTTGACTTCAGGCATTAAATCCAATTGTGAATTTCATTAGGGACCTACTGTAACTGCAAGCTTTCTGACCCAGTATTTTTACACACAAGTGTCTAACTTTGTAGTGCTTTGAGATGGTCCTCATATCCATGGCACAGTACAGTTCAGAAACCAAATCAATCATGACAGTGTATCACACAGTTTCCTCAAAGAACTACAACAAATTTGTCACCGAATGTAAATTTTCTAGCGAAAGGTACTGTGAACCAGCTAATAGCCTGCTGCAGGATGATTTTAAGAACAAATTGGAAAGTAAAAATTTAACATTATTAGCTCAATCCATGCCAAACAGGTCCATTAAAGGTCTCATGACAGCTATGAACAACATCCCTCAAGGCCATTTGTATTAAGCTGTACTATTACCAGTAGATTAAGAACTATTCCAGTGTTACTTCAAATTAACATCAATAAAGCAACTTGTGCCACTTGCCTTTTTCAGCCACAAAGCACAGCATTCCATGTGGCTGCAATACCCCTACTTCTCCGACATCTAACACCTCTAGCTTCTTTATGAAGTCTTCAACTCAGCCTGGTCCTCACTTGCCCATTTAAAACCTAAACCAACGTGACTGTCTAGAGAGGGGAAAACCAGGCAGTGTTTTTGTTAGTAAAAAGAAGAAATACTACAAATACATAAAAGATTACTTAAGGAAGGGTGGTTTGGTTTGTAGGCAGCTTCAGATCTACTAGTATTTTCTACAAAGAATCAACAAATGTGGATTAAGTGGTCTACTTCACATACAACAGATTTTTCCAAAACTACACAACCTATTAGATTAAGGGACAAAGGACTGTCTAAGGGTAAGCAGCAGGTAGCCAGTTTTCTGACCATAAATTACTGTAATACCTGTTCTGTTCAACACTGGCACAGTTCTTTAGGCTAGCAAGGCAACCATGCCATTATAAACTTACTCAAGAACTCAAAAGCAAGCCCGATTATGAAGACTAGAAATGTCTTACAATACTGAAATTTCACCTACTGTTTCACTGCCCATTTGTTATCCAGGCATACACTGCACTAACCAGAGGGGGAAACTCTGAATAAGGACATGCAACAATGCACACCAACCTAGTTATCATGGCTGAAGAAAGATACTCAACTGAGAACAGGGCAGTGTTCAAGAGATGTTAGAACAGAGCCAATCTTAGAACGTATCAAGAGCAAGTAGAAAATATCCTGCTGTTGTTACAAGCTATGCTACGTCCACTACATGACTAGGAAGAGTGGCAACAAGCAGCCCATCTGAAAAAGGGTATTTGTGAATCAAAAACCATGACAGAGGGCATTGAAGACAAAAAAATACCTGAAATAGCTTCAATTCCAAAGAAGTACAAACAGAAAAGCACGGCTGGGAACACAAGACTCATGGCAAGTTATGAGTTAATGCCATACCCAAAGCTAAAAGTCAGCTTGTATTTTACAGCAGACCAGAGATCAAAATTATTAACTTATTAGAACTGGACAGAGAAGAGCCAAACTTACTAGATTTGACATATATTCAATACTAGATTTGAAATAAAGAGATTACCAGTGTCCACATTGCTTCTTCCCTGTTACCATTTATTAAGTGCAAGTGGTTACTAATCCTTTAATCGTGCCTAATTTTCATTGCTGCAAGCAGGGTCGCCCTTACGCGCTACAAACAACTGCAGGGTTGCACAGTGCATACACAGAAGGGGAAATTTTCACTCAGCTCTAAGTACTTTACACCTCTGCGTATTTTAAGACATCTGAAGGATATCAGTAATTTCTTTAACATAAAAACATACACTTGCTGCACGCTAAGCTGTTTAAAATACCTGTCTAGGCATAACATATTGCAGTAATCTTTATCCCTACCCAAGTTAGGCCAATATTCATGAAAGTCCAGCTAAATCAGAACAACTGTAGGCTAAGGAGAATTTAAAAAAATCAAGTACACAAGGTCAGTGTAAACATGTTCTTTAATATCACTGAAGATAAATTTAGAAATCCAAGTCTTAGGTGGGTTTAAAATAAATAATCATTCTGAGTAAATGTTTTATATATAAAGGGAGCTATCAAAGCAGCAGTGCACAGTTTATAATTCCTCCCTGCTCACACATCCCCTACAAGAGAATGTACAGTAGGTAGTGCACACTGGAAAAAACAATCACAACATACAGCACACTTGCCATCTTCGAACCACTGAATACGATGTTAAAAAGGAGGAAGAAGCAAATGAAGGTATGCACTGCTCTTTAAATAAACCACCACTATTTTCCCATAGCCTTTTTACCAACGTACTAGAAATAAAAAGCCTGGGAATACAAATCATCTTTCTGCTTCTAAAATTCACTCTCAGTTCAAAGATTAAGACAGCAGTGCTCCAATATACAAAGTGTATTCCTCAAAATGACATTGCAGCATATCATATCATGCATACCACCAACCGGTCTCTACTCAGGGTCACCTACTCTAATTTTTAAGTTCCTCTCTAATAGCTGAAGAGGTAATACAGAAAGCGTAGACAGGTACGAGTTGTTGTCTCTTGAAGATCCTGGCCTAGAGTACTGAAAAGAACCAAGACATGATTGGCCTCAAAAAGGCATAGGTTACCCAGCAAAATATCCTCATCCTACATCACTCAAAACCTTCCAAAAGTAAAAATTCTTCCTCCAAGTGAAGATTTGCCTGTCTTACATGACTCCAATTATTCTGCTGTAAAATTACGCTCAATATCAAACTTCTTACATGAAAACGAGAAGATTTAAGAATCCAGAAAGACCAACAAGAAAAACAATCAACTATAAATACACCACAAATATACTTGCAAAAGAGTTACTGTAAATTGTTTTCTTCTTTAAGTTACAGTTTCATCAAAATATTTTCTCTCTACGGATACAAGTAGGGCAGTCTTCCGCTCTTCGTACTTTAGTTCAGCATCCAATTGATGTGTGATAAGTCAGTTCTTATCACAGTACTCGCCATAGGATCACATAACCTATTACCACAAATTCCTCAACACAGTTAACCTGCCTCATTACTCATTTTTTTTCTTTTCCATTTCCAATATACCTGAAAAAAAAGTTCTGCCTCTCTCTGCTATGAGTCAAGAAAAAACTGTGTCAAAATGCTGTGTACTTACTGAATAAATATTACAGGAGTTAAAGGGTTGTTTCAATTGCTAGCTTGGCTTTGGCAAAACACGAATTGGGATTACATACACCATATATTTCCACATTTGAGTGGGGGATGCTGCAACATTAAACAGATACAAAATAAAATAAATCTTAGATTTCTAGAACTGTCAGTACACAGGATTCCCAAGTTGTTCTGGATACAGGAGCAGGGTAATCAATTTTCAAGGAAAGCCACATAGTCAGTCAATCTGGCCAACTGCTGTTCATTTGGAATTGGTGGAACCGGAGCAGGTTCTACAAAGATAAAACAAACGAATCATTAATGAAATTAAGAAAGCAGCTCTATCCACAATACCACCCATCACAAGAGTACAGAAAGAATTACATGCATCAGACTGTAAAACAGTCTTATGGAGGCGTATTTTAACTGTATCTCCTACTTATACAACTTTAGTTGACATTACTTTTCTGTTAATCTACAACATTAGGTAGTCCAAGATTTACTAACAGCAAAGACAGCTGTAACAAGTTTCAGTTGTCAGCAGTATCCAAATATTTTTTGTGTAAACTGCAGCCTGAATAATAAGACTGGCAGTACTTCTACTTGACAAATATGCTCCTGGAAGTCTGCAGTTGCTCCTTGCCTTACAAGATGCCATACTGAAGATGCCATATAAATCTACCGGGCTATCTAACAAAGCACAGCAAAGTACTGCATGGGTTACAGGAGAATGCAGCGCACATGCAGATCTTTATATAAATGCCAGCTAACCTGACATTACAGTTTAACAGTAGATTGGAGAACAAGTGACTAAAGCCAGGGAGATAAGTTAGGAATTAAAAATCAGACATGAAAAATCTGCATTTACTCTCCCTGAGGAGTCAGCAGACTAGCATTCAGGAATAGTCAGAGCAGACATACTGCTTAGGGCTACAAGTATGTGACAGAAGAGGCTGACAATCAAAAAGTAAGATCCTAGCTCTTTAAACTGGCTTAGACTTAAACCTGTAAACTTAAGACACTTCTGGCGCCAGCTAAAGTGACATTACAGTTTAACAGTAGATTGGAAAACAAGTGACTAAAGCCAGGGAGATACGTTAGGAATTAAAAATCAGACATGAAAAAATCTGCATTTACTCTCCCTGAGGAGTCAGCAGACTAGCATTCAGGAATAGTCAGAGCAGACATACTGCTTAGGGCTACAAGTATGTGACAGAAGAGGCTGACAATCAAAAAGTAAGATCCTAGCTCTTTAAACTGGCTTAGACTTAAACCTGTAAACTTAAGACACTTCTGGCAACTGTGTCAGACACAGCAAGCCACCAATTCAGATCTGCTGTCACTACCTTGCAAAGACTAGAAACAACAGTGTTTTGAGAATCAGCATGACATAACATATAACACCTCAATCCATAGTTGAGCTCCGAGGATAACCAGAAGAAAGCAATCTTCTACAGGGAAGACTTGAGAAGTCCCACATCACACAAAACCAACAAAACCTAATCAGAGTTGCTTTGTGACAAAGTTGCCTGTAAGTTGAAAGTTTTCACCAAAATCCTTTTTGTTTTACAGGGGTTTCATATCCCTGCTTTGGAATCTGCTCCCTTCTTTAGCTATGGAAGCAGGAATCTCAAGCACTCCTTAAAATGTGAGGGGAATAGAAAACAGAGCAGGAAACATGTTTACATAGCACCTGATTGGGGTCTGTTTGGTTTTGTTTGTTGTTTGTTTTTTGAGGGAGGAATGACAACATTCATTTGTCTAGGACCCAAATTCTATTCTGTGGTGCTGGTGAAATTGTGTGTATAATAATCATACAAGTAGGTTACAGAAACAGTAAGTACCTGATGAAGGAACAAATCTGTTAAAGGAAGCTTCCAGCACACCTGAAGAAAAGCACAACAGAAGTTAACCCAGTGGATCAATTTTCAGCAGTTCTATACATCAAGCGAAAGCTGGATAAAAAGGTAATTAAAATTAAACCTGTATATTTACTTGTTTTACTTCATAGCTGACACATAAAATACCTAAGGCTTAGCTAGTTAGACACACAGGCTTCGAAACAGATGACAGCCTCCTGCTTCTTTCTTTGGCCTCTAAAATAGTTCTCACTGACTTTTGGAAAAAAACTACATGTAACTAACTCTCAGCACTTATAAGCACTGCGTATTTTGCAACCAGCTCATAAAAAAACCCAAACAGATCACACGCAAAAGCTCAGGACTCTGGTTAGTTATGTGCTACAAGGGATAAATTTCAACACCTTGCCTGGCACATGCTTATTATAATGTTCTGGGCTCTGAACACCTAAAAACTCTGCCCACACAAACAATATTTTGTTTTTTTTCTTCTTAGCCTAATAGATGTTGCCCTTTAGATATGCTACAATTTGGCTCCTTCCAGAGCTGCAATGTGCAGTTTAAGAGCAGTCATTTCATATCTGCCTTCACAGCTTAACATTTATAACAGTCAGCCATAGATACTGCTTCAGCAAAAAAATCCAAGTATTTCTGTGGGCTAAGATTTGCAGGAATGGATAATCTGCTATCAGCATCATGATGAAGAAAAGATCCAGTAAAATAATTTTTAAAAAGCAAAAGAAATTATACCAACAACTTGAGCTCCTCAGGGCACAAAGATCCACTAGGATCCCTGTCCAAGTAAGTTCTACTTCTCCTGAAGAAAACCTCAGGTTTCAAATGGTATATTTTTACTCATCTTTATTAGATTAAGGCATGTCATTTGAGGTCATCCAACTAATGTTCCACTGAGCCAGAGCCAGCAGTAGAGGAGCAGCAAGAAAACTCACAGCATATCCTGTCTGTTTTTGTTTAAAAAAGTTAATTTGAGGATGTAGTTTAATCCAAACTACTTGTAACCCCAAACCAAACCCACTACTTTGTACTTCCTACATTTTATAAACATTCCACATTTTACAGCAGCATAAGCTCCATAAAATTATCTAAAACTATATTGCTCAAAATTTTAATTAAAAACTAACACTTAATTACTAGAAAATGCTAAACTCAACGTCTGATGAAACAACAGCACCACCTACCTGGCTTTTTAGGCATTACCATACGAGTTGAAAAATCTGCTTGCCAGCCCTGTTCTAATGCACCTGAAAAAGCATTTTTACATTTGTAAGAGCGTATCTTATATGATTGTTAGAAATGCAAAATAAAGATGCACAAAGTTCAGTAGAAAAGTATGTCAGAGCACTTTGTACAGGCCACAACTCTAAGACACATTTCTTGTCAGCATCAAGACATTTAGTTCTACAAAAAAAACTCATGAAAGTAACAAAAACATGCAAAAGTACATTAACCCACTACCTTCAGCCTTCCCTCACTGTTGAATTGCTTTAACACTTCCACATATAGAAGGGAAGGATAACCAGTGGTAGCTAGTGGCAAATAATAAAATCAAACATCCAGAACCAAGACATTTCTCTCTATTCACTGTTCCATCACTTCTCTTTACAACAGGCTTAGAATTTGTATATGTATATTTGACCATCACATATAGCTCTCTGATCTCAATCATCAGTAGAAAAACTATTCAGTGAATAAATGCAAAGTACCTTTCACAGCTTCTTCCACAGGAAGCCCAACAAAGGCTGCAAAATCATCTGCAACTATTGAGGTATATGCCTGAGAAACCAGTCCAAAGGCTCGTCTCCTTGTTGCATCTAAGAAGAGATAATCACTGTAAGCAGACAGTACACTAACCTCCACAACTAGTAAACCTGAGAATTTTTTTCCTATTCTAACACATTTGAAAAACCACTAGCACCCTTAAAGCTAGCAATTTAGAAGTTCCCCCTTCCTTCCCACAATTGACTTCAGAACCACAGCCAACAGCCAGAGACAACAGCTTGCTCTATGCCAGGAGAAAACCTCTCAGAAACCACATTTAACTTCAAAATGCAGTTTTCAGCATCTTGAGTATTACTACCAGTATGTAAACCCAGTTTAGGAAACTCTGCTTCCAATGGCATTCTCCATTTGCAATAAGCTTGTGTGTCAAACAGTTCAGAATCAGAAAAAAATAAACATGAAAAAAGCAGTTAGTCAAACTATTTATTAATGCCTTTTTAACCACATCTGCTTTGTTACTAAGGCATCTGCAAATCAGTAGTTTCTAAAGCTACATAGAATTTATTATTGCAAAACATCTTCACAGGCTTTTCAGCAGTCTGTATTGCCCTCTAGTACTAAAACTTTGCGTGTTACTGTTGCACAGCCTACAAACATTTGTTTAAAGTCATATTTAAGAGAAAAACCTTGCTGTAAGTGTCACAAGGTTCAGAAATGCCAAGACAAGTTCTTTAGATTACTGGTTAAAAGCCTGATAAAACTGGCTAACTAATGGTCTATTTGGCTATGACAGAACAAAACAGAATGTATAAAATTCCAATATGAAACAATATAGAATCACACACAATCCTAATTAATAAAAACATTTAAGTTTGTTTCTACAAGTTTTGTTATAAGCTTATTTATGCCTGATACCCAAACCCCTTTAAGTAAAAATCTACAAAAACTTGGCAACAATCTTCCTGACCACTTCTAATTTTTCATAATAAGTAGTAATTTGTCTACTTGTCTCTTTGATTGAGCGCACAGAAATAATTTAAGGCAACATATAATTCCATGCTACCTTCAGTTCAATTTGTACCTCTAAGTGCTTCCATGATTGGTTGAATAGTCTCGGACCACTGATGCGCACCGATTGTTGTATAGATTCCTGGAAAGTCTCTCTGCCAGATTCTTTGTCCTACTGACCAAACTGCACCAAGTTCAGCATTTGCCTGTTGCGACAAAAAAAACCCGAAATCAAACAACAGTTAATCCAGAATGGTGTATTCTCTACAGTGGCCATTCTGTATAAACACATTTGAGTGTATTATCAGCAAGTTTGCTGAAGACACCAAGCTG